TGACGAGTTGGCGCATTCTTTCGGATTCCCAAGGCCTCGAACCGGTAGAAAAGAGATCACCGCAGGTGCTCTAGTAAGTAATCAAACTTATGAACGTTGAACCAAGATGCAATTAATAAAGGGTCGACTCGAATCGTTACTGGTCATTAATAGGACGGTAGAGTCCCAGTGTTGCCGGTCCTACGAGTCTTGGAAGGAATTTCAAGGAACGACCGTCTTCTATCGGTTTTAGGTCTGCTGTTCGGCTCAAGATTGCTTGCGTGTGTACGTTACTGACAAAAGATAAGTCCTTGAATCTCGATTGGGAGCTACCGACCGGCGTCCGAGTACTGTCCAGATACAAGACTAAATTTATTGTAGCTGTTGATCATCATTCATATATAGCAGGCGCTTCTTCCCCGGTATGCAATATGAACGGGCACGACTTGTCTCCCAAACTTCGCATATGGACGTCGGATTAGTACCTCTATCTCAATCCAACCAGCGTGTCTAACGCGGATCACACTCCCTAGGAAAATTCGGAGGTCTCGACTGTCAAGGGCTCTCCGTGGCAAGAGCCGCAGAATAGCCCATCCCCACTTTAAGGCCCCAGAGCTCATGGTCAGTAACAGGTGACCCTATTGACTTCCTTGGTTTGTGCCAACCTAGCGATAATCGCTGCAATATTTTGGGGATCCTCGCTAATGTCAGGTTTTATCTTTCTCCACTGCTTCCATCACAAGTTTACTATCTGTGGGAGATGCCGTGAAGTTCTCCACCTTCACGTCGTGCGCGTGACAAAGCGAGCCTCATTTTTTTTAACCTCCTCTGCAACTGCGAAATGCCTATTCTCTGGCATTAGGCACGCCATGATAGGAGAATTTGTGTCTGCGATCTTGTTATCGAGCTTTTATTAGCGACCACTGTAGGAGGCATATGTTTTACCCTCTACAGAAGGTTCCTTCAGCAGGTTTGAGACTCCGGGGAAGATAAGCGGATTCTGTTAAATACCTGTACACAGCAGTTTGCACTATTTGTGCCCAGAGTCTATACGACCAATCGTGCCTGATGGACTTTGCAAGAAAAGTTGTCAAGGCGCTCGAGGTTCCCCATACTCGTGAAGAGGGTGCTCCCTCCGGCCTGCAATTTGTTTCGGTGGGTTTTAAGTTCTGATTAGGTTCAACAATTTGGGCTTACTATATGGCTACTCAGAGTGATGATCTGCTACCAGTTCCGATAGAGGAAAGAACATGGACTGCATTCAGTTATGTCGCTTTGTGAGGACTGCGATTCGTTAGATTGACTGCACAATTAACACTCTTCTCGCCAGCTGGGGGAGCACATCGGTGAGTAGTGAATTATCACGATAACACAGAACGCTTATAGAAGCGCTACTCGTAGATCAATGTTTCAACGTTAGTTGCAAATTTTCTACTTACAATATAGCCTCACAGGTCCTCTGATAGTTGGATGATAACCTCTGGCATGGTTGTTCTCGGCATGTCGTGGTGGCAAGCCTGGTTGGCCGTCTGGATTGGTTATGGTGTGATGACGCCGTTTATCGTCTTGATGGGTCGACCAGGTGCTGTATTCCATGTAACTTTCCCGGTCGTCAATCGTGCCAGCTTCGGAATATTTGGAAGTTTGTGGTGTGTATTCAACAGAGCGACGATGGCATGGTAAGTACGATGTCTTTCGCGCCGTGCTGTCTTCACTTTGTTGCAGTATCTGGTATGGAGTGCAATCAAGTATTGGCGGTTCATGCGTCTTGGTGATGCTCCGCGCAATCTGGCCGAGTGTTAATGATATCCGTGAGTTTAATGATGAGTTGGTTCTTCTGGATCTGATATCTTATACGATGAAGCAAATTCCATGCCGTTGTCCTCTGGCACTAACACCAGGGATTTTATGTGCTTCTTCATTTTCTGGGTAATATCTTTGCCCTTCATATGGCCTCCCGTGCACAAAATGTACGTTTAGAGAAATTCATTCAGATGGATTACTGATGAGCTCGCAACAGTCGTCACTTCTTCACGTTCAAGACGATCATTACGCTCATTGCCTGTCTCATCTTTATGATTTGGTGCATTGTCAAGGCGAAAGGTGTTGGACCGATTGTTAAAGAGCCGGCAACTATCTATGGCTCCGAACTGGCCTGGGCCATGATCAGTGGTACTGGCGTATGCATCAGTAACCTCATAACACTGACAACGTATGCCTGTTGTGCTTTCATGTATTATGTGCCATTCTTACCATGTTTGCAGGAACGCACCAGATTTCGGGTCACGGGCGAAGACTCCATCTGCACCGATCGTTTCCCAGTTCTGGTCTATCCCCTTCTCTTACGGTTTAATCTGCCTCTTTGGTGTAATTGTCAGCTCCTCGTCACAAACAATCTACGGGGAAGCAATCTGGTCACCTGTGGATTTGTTAGGAAAGTTCTTAGACGATAACCCATCCCCTGCCACTCGATTTGGTGTGAGTTTGAATAACGCATGGTTGTTTTGCACTGATGAGAAAGTCATTATAGGTCTGGTTCATCGCCTTCTCGTTCATTATAGCTCAAGTAGGCACCATACTGACTCCCTTAAAGACCTAATGCTGATTGATCTCAGATAGGGTATGCAATGGGCGCGCGAGTTACTGGCATAGCTCATGCTTTGTATCCCCATTTCCAGAACGAACATTTCCGCTAACTCGGTCAGTGCGGGGTGCGATCTGACGGCGTTATTTCCACGTTTCATCGTAAATCTTTCACTTCGTGCATTTGTCTTAGGAAGTGCTTATTTTCATCACAGAATATCAGACGCGGCGGGTATATATCAGCCATTGTCGGACTTGTCATGTGTCCTTGGAATCTAGTATCAAGCAGCAGCCGTTTTTCCTCCTATATGTCAGCGTACTCGGTTTTCCTGAGCGCCATTGCAGGAGTTATGGTAAGTGAACTTGGATCTGGATCTGATTTTATTATGACTTGGTGTGCCCCTAGGCCACCGAATACTGGTTTGTGCGCAAGGGCCATTATAACGTCGCTGATCTCTATGTCACCCGCAAAGGAAGTTGGTATTGGTACAATTATGGTTTCAATCCCAGGTCTGTGGGAGTCTGAGACTAGTACTGTTGGCTCTCCATCGCTCACTCGAGTTTTAAAGAGCGTACGCAGCATATGTGGCAGGCATCGCCATCAATGTAGTTGGGTTCGCTGGGGATAGTACGTCCTTTAGTTTGTATTTTGTTTGCGGTCCTCATAGTTCCACAGCTGGAACACCCGTACCAGCCGCTGCGACTCACATATTTGACTTGTCTTTCTTCACAGGATTTGGTACTTCAAGTATCGTGTACTATATATTGAGCAGAATGTTTCCGGTTGTTGGAGCTGCTAAGGTATTTGAGGAAATAGATGTATCTGGGTATGAGAAAAAAGGATGGCGAGCTGCGACGAAGATGTCAACTCAAAGGACGATTGCACAGAGAAGGAATCATCTACAGTATAAATTTAACAGTCATCGAAAGTAGACTTATATATACGGTGTGATGAATCCATTATGATTGTTCATGTTGGATTCAATGATATTAACTTTTGACACCAGAGTTACACTGTTCAAACCTTGCACTCGGGCGCATGTTCAATTATATTCGTTAAGAGTAGACTAAGAACTCACTTAGGATGTCGAGAACAAAGGCCGAAGAGAAGGGCACGATGTAAGTACATGTCAGATCACCATGTTGGAGTCGCAACGGAAATTCATTGCAGGCCGAGGAAATAGATACTAAGACCGCAGAATCGCATTACGCCAGAGAAGAAACACAGGAATGTAGGATAAAGAACTGGGCATATCGTCAGAAAAGGGACATGGACGCTTGCTCTGTACAGCCAGCGCTCAAGCTGCGAAGCGAACACGAGGAAGAGGCTCCTGTGGAAGACCAGAATAACGACACCCCTCCTGCCGGACAGTTATTCTGCATTTCCCAACCTAGAGTTCAGTTCGATTCTGCTCAGCATGAAATCGCTGCAGGCGCTAAGACTTTACCTGAGCGCGCTAATCAAGCTGTTCCACATGCGCCGCAAATTGATCAAGTCAGGGGTACTATCGACTGATCCCAACCGTAGGGCCAGCTCCACTAAAAGAACCCACTGCGCAGCGCACTGACGGAGTAGTGGGAAGGTTTATATAAACGCTCCTGCATACGTCGATGCCTATGACATGACACGAAAAACGAGTAGATTTAAAGGTCTTAGTAAATGTGAGCGGCACAAAACGGAATCTTGACCAGAATGGAAAACGGCGACTTATCTCGATGGCCCATTTAACACGATTCCTGCAGGTCCTGCAGCTGGAAGTATCGTTGACCGCTCGCCGTGCCATGGAGTAGATTTCCAGTGAGTATGGACACCCGTACCGTGACCAACCTGTAACACACAACGATTCAGAGACGTAAATATCACCAACTAGGTGACATCATGCTCAAGTCATCCTCTCCTATGAAGACGCGATCTTTCTACAACCACCATCTCAGCGAAGAAACAGTTCCAAGATGCATCCGACGCTTAATTTCCGCCAGCAGGGAGATATGTCCCAGCGATACTGGCATAACCAGCCACCACGAAACAGATTTGTGCGCTGAATGGATTAGTTCTGACTACGATTGCTCATCATCTGGATCACGCAGTTCATCATGACCGCAGCTCTCCTTGCTGGGACAGGGCTTGCGTATTATTGGGGTTATCGGGGTGTGGATCGGAGGCACAGTGTCGACAGTGAGTGTTATGATTACCTTCGGGAAATTGTGTTCTCAGCATTGTCCCCGTCGCTTAGAAATATCTGCCAAGAAGTAGTCAGGATGTCATGGGAATGAGGAATGTTTTACTGGTCCCCCTTCGCACAGTGAAAGTCTATTAATTTGCACCGGTCTAACCTACTTTTATTTGATACATAATATCTCTATACGACACCTATTGTCAGGTATTACCGTCAGTAAGATAACAAGCCCAATATTGGAAGTCATAACCCACAGGGTAGTTAATCATCCAAAGAGTTTGATGCATCTAGTCCATGCTTGACCACCGACTGGTCAATGAGGTACTGCAACGTTGACGTATTTTCGTCACATCTGGACAACAATCAATGAGACGCAAATGCCCATGGATGAAGAGACGCACAGCCTTGATATCGACCCCTCTACGTCACCTAATGCCTTCTGGGCTGCTCGCAATACAGGTGCATATTCACCGCTGTGATCTCTCAGGAAGCGACCATGTGCTGTAATCACAGTCTGCACCCAAATGAGGTCGAACTCGAGATGAGGGCTCTTCTCTAGATGCTCCGACGTGAATCGAAGGAGCGCAGGATGTAAACATTAGGCATCTGTCGTGCAACAAGGCGTATGTCACTGCGGGGAATGCGCTCGTAAACTTGTTGTATAATGGGTTTCTCGTTCAAGCGGAATGCAAGAACAAGCGCCTTCAGGTATTCGCCCTCTGCGAGGATATTGAGTACAGCTTCCGGAGTGAGATCCATCGTGAGGTCAAAAGGGTCAAACATGACAGTGTCGTCTAGAGAGTAGATCAAGAGGCCTTCGGTGCTTGCGGCTGCCCAAGCACGCCCTGTTGGTGAGAAGCGTACGCATTTAGTGCGCGCTTCTTGGCGGTGCTTTCGTATGGACATGTCGCCCGCTCCTCTCGATGCGCCTGGCAAAGGCCGTGTCCATCCTATCTTCTAGGTCGCTGGCATTGCCGCGGTCATCAATAAGATCAATGTTGATACCCGCATCGTTAACCTTGCGACTGTCTAGAAACTCCTGGGTGCCATCCAGCGAGAGATTTTCTGAAATCTGAAACTTCTTCACGAGCACTCCCTCTCCTTCACGTACGTCATATAGACAAACGTACTTGCTATTTCCACCGGCAAGCACACATGACCCATCTGCAGTATATGCAAGACTCGTGAACGCCTTTGTGGAGGAACTATTAGCAGCCTGCGACTCGATCGTCCGCTTTTCGTCCTCCAGAAACATCTTTGCGGCCATCAATGACATTTGACTGCTTTCCTGATCGCACATCAAAGAATGTGATCTGGCCATCAAGCGTCGACGCTCCTAGCTCCACGCCATCCGGTCGGAATGCAATCGAGAGAACATCGGAGGAGAGCGCAAGAGGTTCCACAGCGCGTGATCTGCCAAAAATGCTCCAAATACGAATGGTGCGGTCCCAGGAACCACTCGCCAGTTGATTGGCACCCGTTGGCGAGAAGGCAAGCGCAGATACGGGTGCTTCATGGCCAGCGAGGATGTCGAGGAGCTTCCCAGTCTGGACTGACCACATAAAGACTTCAAATGTGTTCGTTGAGCCCGCAGCAACAACTTCTCCTGATGGATCGACTGCTATGGAAGAGAACTGAACAGGAGAAGGGGAGGTGAAAGTCCGGAAATTGCGGTACCGGACTAGGTCGAATGCACGAACGGTGCCATCAAGAGAAGCGGAGAAGAGAACGGAGCCGTGCTTCGCGAATGTGATGCCCATTATGGGTGCGGTATGCTCTGAGAAGGTTACGAAGCAGAAGCCATTTTGTACGGACCAGACCTTGAGTTTGCTATCATCACCCCCTGTGGCGATGGTCTGCCCATCTGGAGCGTAAGCTAGCGTGTTCATATCGAAATAGTGTCCCTGTTGTTTGAGGATGTAGGACTCTGATTGCCATTCCCAGACAAGGAGCTGACCAAGCCTACGCGCGCCGAAGGCAAGCCACTCTCCGGTTGGAGATATTGCAACAGATGAGATCTTCTCCTGCGAGATGCTCAGAGTGTGGATATTTGTGAATGACGGAAGCTCCCAAAGTCCAAACACACCACTAGAGAATCCGACAACCAGGAGGTTGGAAGATGGGTGGAAGGTGGTACAGACAACTTTCGTGTGTGGGAGATTAAAATAGTGGCGGTCATGTACACCCCACCTTATCCGAGGTATTGAATGTGCGAAAGCTGAAGAAACAAGCTGCGGTGCCTCCGTGTCGTCTGGCTCGTCTTTGGCTGTCCATGTGAAAACAGCACCATCACGACTGACAGTGTATATCTGAACATATGTAAGTCAAAAGAAAATGAAAGACTTGTTTCACTTACGAATTTGCCATTGGCAGAGAAGTATGCCCCGATTACAGCGTCTTTATGGCCAGCAAATGTTTTTGGTCGAAACCCTTCCAAGGGATCGAGGGTGAATAATCGGGCAGTCATGTCGTGCGATGTCGTAATGAAGCAGCTGATCTTACTGAGCTTAGTAGCCAACAACGATATCTAGATGCACTCACGTTGAGTCCGGTGACCATCGAATACTGGACACGTCGGCATGATGCCCCGTGTATGTGCGGTGAAGTACAAATGGTGCAAACTCTCGGACTAGGTGATTTGGCGTGCGCCAAACTTGCACATGAGAATCATGGGTCACTGCGATGAACCTAAGGGGTGATCATAGGATGAAGGCCATCAACCACAGGAAAAAGGCAGAACTCACTTTCCATCATGTGAAAATTGTATATCCTGGACCAGTTTTTGGAAGTTGAAATGATGCAAAACCACGCCTCTTTTGAAATTTACGAGCAACGCTCTGCCATCTGTGCAAAATATTCAGTATTCGCAAGATTTAAGTACCCCAACGAACCTTCATCGACAGACACCAAAACGTTGCCATCTGGACTGAGGGCAATTGCAGCGATATTCTTACGATTCTCGACTGGTAGTGTTCGGGATTTATTGCTTAAGAAGAGCGCCATCCTTCAGGATCTCTCGTATGCTATATGATGCACTTACTTCACCAAATCAAACACTGATACTCGATTCCCGACAGGACTCAGCAGCGTGTTGCCATCGGGAGTAAAAAGAATGTTCCCTTGCTGGTAAACTGTCCCGCAGATGTTGGAGAACTAGCAGATGGTAAACTTCTGTTGCTGCTGATTGGTAGAGAGTCTCACCTTGTAATTTGCCTTCATGAGTGCTCAGAACGATGAACAGACTTGAAGCAAAAGTTTTACATAAGCATTCACGGAAAATATTGTCACGTGATACGTACATGCAGGAAAGGATTGCACAAAAATTAAAATATGAAGTCGCGGTATGTGCAGTCAGTTGCAACATTGAAAACGTTTGATATGCCTGTTCTTTTATATTTAAGAACCCTAGCTATGTTGGATCGTGACCGGTTTGACCTCGAGAACACAAGGAGTGGAGTGGACATCATGATCAAGTACTAAGTAGTAGGCATCTTTTGGTTGAAAACGGGCATCGATACCCAAAATACAAGTAGATTTTGAAGGAACATCAGTGTTGACTGTAGCATTATATCATGCCAAGATCTTTCACTCACCCACTCGCCACCTTTGCCTTCCAGTGCTGGTTATCTTCTCGTCGCCCATGCTAGAATCTGATGACTTCGTAAGCTCGTCCACTGCTGTCCTCCCTCGGACGCTTGGACGTGTTGTTGAATTGAAATCCTTCCTCGACGAATATGTGAGGTTGGGAAGACATTTGCGAGAAAGTAGTGTGGCTATTGTTCTGACTCGCTGTTGGCACCTAAACTTCTATGCTTCTGTTGACGAGAAATATGACGCCTAGAAGCAAGTCAGCATTCGAAGTAAAAGAAATTCATGATACGCGGGTGGGTCTAGCACTTCCTGCGATGCGGAATCCTCACCCTATGATGTCAGTGTGGTTGGCAAAAATAGTGCAACATCACTTACGACAAACTGTATTACTTATGTATCTCGAAGGACCGAGATCGAAACCTAGAAATTATTTTAGTAACATGAATGCCCATCGATGTCACAGTATCTAGTTCCTTCGAGTCTCAAGGGCCGAGTTTTGGCTCGTGGCATCGGTTATGGCTTAGACTGCAGACCACGAAGTTGCCCGTAGTGAGCTCTAACTTTGAACTGGGCAATGGATTCCGTGATATGATGTGGCGACACTCGATACAATCCTCACAACCCGGATGTATGACAAGCACCGCAGACAAAAACAAACAAAATCTTGAAGGCATCCCATATCGAAATCTAGGCAAAATCTAAATTTTAGCGGACATAAGGTTCATTGCGAGCATGGTACTGTAATCGTCTATCAATACCACTGCGGCATGTCGGAAATTAATTAGCGAATGTATGGAGCAGTCAAGATCGGGAGCGCACTCGATTTATCAAAATTACGCTATTGCATCATAGCATCGCTCCAAGATTCTTTGTAGCTCCAGGATGACAAAAGGAGCAAGCCACACTTCAAAGACTGCATGAAATTGTCTACATCATGACTCGAACGAAAAAGAATCAAGACATGGCATGACAGCGGGGAACAAACTCACGAGGAGCGGTAGTCCGCATCATTCCGGGTCAAGGACTACGTTCCGTTAAAGAAGGCTGTCGTCTCCTGCGATCTTTGAGCGACATCTTTACATAAAGAAAACTGCCTCCGGCAGCCAGAATGAGGCTACCCCAGCCAAAGGCCTTCGCGAGAAACAAAGTTCAGGGTGTTGATCACAAGCGGCTTCTGCTGGCCACTCACCATCCGTCGACTGAGCATCCCAAAATTAAGCTGATATGATGCCACGTTCAGAGCTTCAACGTTATTTCAGAATCCGGGAAGTCCAGTGTAGACCGAGTGTCGTATGTCACAACCCACGAACGAAGTGTTATAAACTTTAACGTTTGCAAGTAGCAAGGACTTGCACAGTGAATTGCAATTGCTTAATGTAAGTTGCCAAACTGTGACGTCGTGTGACTTCTCTTAAGTTGTGACACCTGAACTTAAATCTCGTGCAACTAAGTTGAGTTTTCAAACATTTTCTTTACTAGCCTAGCTCAGCTACCTGTCCATGTCAATCGCGACTAGCTAGCATGCAGTTTTTGGCAAACACTGGTTTGAACCACCTGTTTGACAGGATTAATGCAAGGCCATTTGAAGCCGTTTGACCTCAAGAGTTTATGATACTACCCATGGTCCGGGGCCCGTGCGAGAGGCCACCTGTATTTTGACTCGCTGCACCCATTTTATCTTTATGTGGGGTATGTAGTTGACGACTTCACTTTTTTTTCTCTTTTGATGTTTACTGCAGAACTTCAATTGTATAAAAGTTTGGGGTGCACAGCAAGTCCCAACTGATTCTCCATGGTGAACTGCGAATGATGGGGTGGATGATGCCGTTTCCCTTCTTACAGTGTTAGGTTGCCGCATGGAATACCATGCGTAATCAATCACAAGCAAGCGCTTCTTGGCGATTTCCAGCCACCCGGGTGGTCACCCGGTCACGAGCCTTTCCCAAAGGACTTTGCAACTCACACTCCTAGTGTGGAATCGCGTCACTCAGGAACTGGGGTACTGATATCAGCGCTCTTGTGGGCATCAGATCTTCTTACCCCACGCTTCCTGGTGGGTGATAGCCCAAGCCTGTCACAGGAGTATGCTGTTTGACTGGGCGTCTTGCACTCCCACCCTCATCTTGACAGAATCAGTTGCCGTTGACCATGGATTCATCCATCTGGCTGTGATAGCAAAGCAGGTGATGACATTGTTCCTGGTTGCTACGGTACACATGCACACCATTGGCAGCCCGATACGGTGTCCCTACCCCACTTACCGCAAAGACAAGTCCACAACCTTCAGGCAAGGTTCACAGGTTGTTGTGGGTCAGGGAAGATAGCGTCTTCTTAATGTTTCATGTCCGCTGAGTGACAGCTTATATGACCCGATTATAGGTACGCCACAGTGCGAGCGAAGAGGGATCGTGGGCATCCAATGATTTGCTTTCGCGCGCCTACCACCCGATTCGCTGAATCTATTCTCGACAACCTGATGAATTAGCACCTGTCTACCTGCTCGGTTGTGAAACACGCTTCTGTTTATAAAAGATACGTTGGCCTGTCCCCAATTTCCAGATTCCAAGAACAGATAGTTAGAATGTTCCCCGGATCAGTGGCATCGTCGGGATTTGTCATGATATATAACAGTAGCATGTGCCATTTTCCTTCATAGCTTTCGTCACTTTTCTCACAAAGGGTTCTCGAAGGCAATCGTTGGTTCTCGGCGTCTCACATGGCTTCATGTCTTGTCCAATGGTAGTGCCGGTTGTTTGTTATCAATCAAGTTCTGCTTTGCGCTTTCTTCGCGATTGTTTACGCTTTTATTCCGTAGATACGAAACCGCCGGTAATTCAGGGAATGTTGCCGACCGATGGCCCCATCAATTGCGCTGAAGTTCATCTGCCTTATCTCCGCAATGGATTGAGAGGAGAAATATCATGAACAAAGGGCGGTCCTTACGATATGTTCTGCCAGTAGAATATTTGGATGCGTCATGCACCAAAGTAGGTGAGATTGATATTGTGACCGGTAGAACACTTGCATCATGAGCGCGTGGATAAGTCTCGGCAGCCATGTCGTCACCTTGGGGTGATTCAAATCCGAGCTTTGAAATCCCAGCGTCATCGCATATCGTGAAGTTCACGCTGAGTTCTAGAATCGAATACAGTCAAACGCGTTTGGATAGTCACTCTGTTGGTGTACTTTCTACTGAATTTAATTCACTTTTGAAGTCAAAAAAGATGAGCTATACGATTCTAAGATTTCAGTAGTGGAACGCCTGAGTGACGTCGAACACCGGTATCGCGGGCCAGATATGCTATATCGGGAAGGCATATTGTAAGATGATTATGTGCAAATATAGAAAATTAGGAATTTCGTACATAATGTCTTTATTAACCGATGCCTGTTACACTAACGTAATTTCCTTTATATGTCTTGATGTTGATGTCACTGCTTTGGTCGTCACAATAATATTGCCTTTCTTCCCGTCAGCTATATAAATGTTGTCCTCACTCTCCCTAACCATTTGACGATCCGACCCCAACCCTGGCACCGTTCAAAGAAGCTCTACGACTCAATATATAGAGTCGCTCTTTCTATCCCATTCACTACAACTCCCCCTCTAGCCATCATTCAGTCATCTCACCCTAACAGTATGCCCGGTGCAATACCATATATTGGAAATGCGACAAGGATATGGGAGATCAATGTGCACTGGAGCTTGTATTCTCAGTGCGGAATTTGGGATCCTAAAGGTCGCGGCGTGGATATTTGGGAATGCATTAGAGCTCGTAAGTTGCCACTTTTCTTTGTGTCTAGCAATCCTCATATGTTCCTTCTAGATGACTCAACCCAGCTTACCCAGGTTCGCTACCAGTCTTGCACTGTCATCTCTTAGTAGTAATCTCACCTTTTTCAGCCACCTAACGGTCTTTACTGGCGCTACATCGCCCGCCGGTAATCAGTCTATGGTTTCATGAACACTGCCATAAAACAAACCTTGACGCCGTGATTTCATCACGTTACCGCTCTTGGTCATTTGGTACCCACAGACGCCTAACCCGGTCTAAGGACTGCGTCATGCCACCCTCAACGTCGCAAGTGAAGGTTATATATCTCCCAGGCATAGGAGAGACACGCGTGATCACATTGCCTTCGCCGAGGGATGTGGAGGGTCATTCATGAATGACACGCATTTTTACGATACTACTCTTCTCTGCATTTTCTTTGGCTGGTTCCGAACTTCCGCTTCCTTATGGTCACGTTTCACCCCTTTTTTGGTATATTTGCTTATTTCATTGGGTCTTCTGGCACAAAACACCTACTATACGTGTATATTCTAATATCCACTGCGATTTTTTGGGAGGCACGACTACAAGCAGACATAATAGATGGAGGGCGATGTCGTCCCCTCCGCTACATTCCCAATTTATGTGTTCCTGGTTGCAGAAAGTGCGAGGTCTCCGTCACCAGGGGCAAAGTATGTACTAGGTGAGTCGCATCATATCATATTCATATTGCTGAGTATTGAAACAGTCCATCTCAGTTGTGATGATCAGACCCATTTTCATTGTTAATCGATGTGCCGCGTTATCACTAGTGCCGCGTAACAGAGTCTTCCTGTCCCTGGTGACTACCATACTACACCGCGGGGGGTGGATCTCGGACCCATCCCGGAACACGTTATATTACTCATGCTGTAAATTTGATCACACACGTGTGCATGTCCAGCCAAGCCTCATGGGAGGTGGACTTGTAACGGGGTGCGGAAGAGATAGGGGTGCGCGGGCGAATGTCTGAAGTGGAAGCACCCTCATTTGTAGGCCAAGAATCTACCATTGCTGACATGTTGCAAGTTTCGAATACAGACGGCGGGAAAGTTAAACTCTATCAGAAATAATGTCACTGCGCGAATTGCCATTCAGCAGGAAACCCACGCCGTCAGGTTACGTTCCCATTTATTCGCCAGAGCATAGTAACATGCATTGATGAATGCAGAATGTACCTGCGATAATAACTTCATCTCCATCCCGCCCGGCGCCTCGATATGATCGGATGCACATGACTGAGTTTCCTCCTATATCGAGAGACGACGATCGCTTGAAAGGGCAGCCGAAAAGTCTTGGTACCAGCGCCAAGTTCAGCCGTAGGCTCCGAACACACAGCTTCAAATCGTTATCCCCGACTGTGATCTGTGGCCCGTGGGGTCCTGAAGCCCACGCCGGTAATAGTCTTAGCTTGGTCTTAGCCTCTCCCAGATGTGACTAGGAGAAAAACGTTATCGGAAGCCTCATTGCCTTGGGAAATGAAATCATGATAAGTCCTGATAGGACATGATGCGCCAGGATCACTGGTCTTGCTCCGGCGTGAGGATATTGTACGGTCTTCTGCCGCAATCAAAAACATGACGGATCGGAGACTATCAGATAACGAGGGATGACGGTCATAAGGGGCTTCCAATTTCTTGATATTGTCAAACAGAGCTCATCTGCTGGTACCATGGTGTTCACCATGACACCTCATGGCACTTGGCAGAGGTGCTTGCTGTCTCCATGTGATGATATAAACTCAGATCTGTGACTCTTAATCAGCGGCAGCGAGAACGATGAACGATTTTCACTCAGGCACCACATATAGTAAGTACCTCGTCAGCTTGTTGAATAGATTGAACGTATGAAAACAATCATGATATTGGATGGAGACGTAGCAGATTTGTATGCAAATCAAACGAGCGCTGCACCTTTCCGATCGTGGGGACGACCACCACGGAAACGGTGAACAGATGGCCTGTAAGTTCCCCAGATTTGCCAAACGAAAGCTCGCAATATACCAATACTGCCGAAATTTACGACCCCGGATGGATTGCAGGTACAGTAGAAGCACCATTGACGAACAAGTGCCGTACGGAGCGTAGATACAACTCCGTTGTCGGGATAGAGAGCACTTGCACCCGAAATAACACCACGGAGAGACAGTTCCCAGATGAGAGAAACACACTTGCGGTGTCCAATCGTCGTGACCTTTCATAGAGTTGTACCAGGGCGTACCGATGCCGAATATGCATAGGGCGTGCACACATATTGGTGTTCTGGTGGAGCATGCGAGAGTTGAGTTATGCATGTCTACGTGTTCATGGAGTGCGTCGGTGTATATATGGTTCAATTCATCCGCAGCGATAATTCTCAAGTGCTCAGTTAATTGGACAATTTGGAAACCCAAGGGGATGAAATGACCGGAGTGCGGCTCGCGGTGAAAGCTCGGGCAATCAAACTTACGAGAAGCCGACCGCATTCCTTCGTATCTGGACAATGCGAGGCAGATAAACAAATGTTCGGTCCGAAGATAGGCTTGCATGACTGGTAGGGCATGATACTGTCATAATGCGGTTCCCATCCTGACCAAAACGACAGCCGGCATCACGAATGCCATTGAACAACAATTGAACAGGGGTGAATTTGCAATTCGCACGTAAGGCTTCTAGCGAGACTCATCTATTCTTGCATCGCTTGGTTCTTGATGTGATCACGTCGAAGGCCACAGCAATCGCAAAATCTACATGAGCGCTAGCATGTTTGATTTTACTGCTGTGCAACAAACGACATTTACAGTCAGTCCAGAGATGATGAGTCGATTAGATCAAAAGAAATCCGATACAGTACAGTCAAATAGAATAGGCGATGCTGGAACTATGATTATATGAACATGATATTTCCTGGAGAGCAAAGTGAAGCAGTAAGTGGGATTCAATATCACAAGAGGCGGACACATACAGAACTGATGAGGTCCATTACTTATCACCCGATCACACCACCATCTTCAAACCTGGTAACAACTTAAGGTATTCCGTGAGGTGTGACTCAGCGCCCCTGTTGCGGTGTATGGTGAGCCACTTGAGTGGGCATTTGGACCGAGTAATGAATGCCGAAAATTGTTTGTGTGGCCAAGGATATCTATCCGGCGCACAGAAGCGGATGACCAGCTCCTCTAACGCTGGTAGGGTTAGGGCTTCGAATAGGCTACCCAAGCCAGCGCGAATGACATTGACCTCAAGTCGGTGAATGCTGTGATTCACTGTGCCTATCAGGGGGAACGACTGCAGGCCCGTCTGCGACGATGTATCCGCACATATGGAGGAAACGCTGACCCGTTGGACTTGCGTGCAGAGGCCGATGACCTGCAGAAAAGTGGCACTGCTAACCAGTGCGAACTGTATCTTCAGGTCTAAAAGCTGGTGCCAAGGCAAGTCAATGGAACGCAAAGAGTGTAGATCGTAGGTCAGGGATTGCAAGACCGCTGAACGAAGTTGTGGCGTTGGGCTGGGTATGGAGAACAGGAAATTTGCTTTGTGGAAGGTGACCTGGAAGCGCGACAGGGACTGAACAGAGTTGTCCAACAAACCTTGGATGGGAGGCCCATGCCACCAAAGGTCAGAACACTGGCCCAAGAAAGGTCGGAGCCATTGTATGGAAAGAGGTTCTTTCCCATCTGAGAGGTCCATGTCATGCACCACACGAATGGATAGCGGAACACTCCTGGCTTTTTCTAGCCAACGCCTGTACTCATCACCACTAGTCGTGTCTGCCCTAAGCAAGGATATGCTTAAGGATGCCCATAAGCGAGGAGTGGACAAAGCAACTGCTCGCCAGTGACGGCAGACCCTTGTCAAGACTATTGGGCATTCATCCAATGTAGGCGTAATATAATTTGTATGGGGAAGACACCGAAGAAATATCTCTCCAAGAAGCTCTGGTGGTAGCAAATAGCATGCTGGAGATGCCAGGGCTTCGTGAAATGCCAACGACTCTTGCACAATGGCCCGTTTCTCCTTCAACCTAGCCTGGATACCTTGTAATTTTTCCAATGCATGGTTCAGAAGGTCGATGTGGTCGTCGAGAGCTGCAAGTTGTGACTTTCGCTGCGTTACAACAGCGCGAATCGTTGGGACCTTGTCGGACGGAACATAACTGGTGGGACAATGATAAGAGAACGATGTCGGCGTCAACTCAGATAACTGAACCACTTTGAGTCTTTGGCCCAAACAGTAAGATAATTAGAATTTTCTGCATACCGGCTCTAAGATGGGAGACTGGGAGTGGCATCATGATGAACAATGATCACGCCATCGCAACAATAAACTCACCAATGTTTCAGCTTCATCCAGCAGATCATTCAATAACTCAGGACCGGTCATTTAAAGGTGAGACGTTGCGCGGTGGTATACGAGGGTATACGATAATATTGCGCGATTTCAAGTTTGAATTGCTTGAGAGGTGCAAGCGAGTTATGTAACCAGGCCCAGGCGTGCCACGTTCAACGCTGTTCGACGTTACGCCGTAGAGTCAAGAGGCTTTGAATCAGCTGTAGGTCGCATAACCTGTACAGTGCAATGTCCATCGTTGATGATTTTGCCAGTGCGGTTTTGTCATTACAGGTGACTCTTCTGGAGTGGTGTAGTATCACACACTAGGCAGCCGATCCCGGATGCAGGGCCGTCCAGCTCCAGTCCAGGCTACATGACATTGGTAGGTAATTTTCTGCTTAGGTCTAAGTTTGAATGTCTTTTATGATCTGTCTCCGTTAACTGATATGTAGCTGCGACTCGCGATACCGTGACATATGCGACATGCATGCATCTCACCGAGAGACGGTAATATAGCAACATACTACATATGCTAATCGCCCATGTGAGCACCATATCATCATCCATCACCGTGCCACTGGAGTTAACTATGCTGTTTTGTCATCGAAGTAGTGTAATGGTCTTGAACTTTTTTGGTCTCGAGCTTCCGACATGGTCTCGTCCCCTTATCTGCCAGCGCTTGGTTGTTTCGGAAATTCCATACAATCAGGCTCCTTCTCAATAACAGTTGGCTATGGCTCCATGTACTTCACGATCACAACGGATTCGCACAAGTAGCAATAGAACGCACGGATCTACAGTCTGATATGTGGCTAGTTATAGCACGATACCTTGATCATGTTTCCCTGCAGGGTAGTGTGGGATTCGCCGTATGTTGCCCGACATCTTGGCTCGGGAAAATGCAGTCGACCGACCGACGCAGAACGTTGGAGCGTAAGAAAAATCGCAGATATTTTTCCGAGGGACAAGTTCAGTATTTTCGTTAAGGGTACCTTCTTCCCGAGACAACGTGTTAAACGCTGCTAGAACTGCAATCATGCTTCCTACTCTCAGATCACCGTCCTCGCTTCCTCTAATGACCTCTAATCAATAGGTTACTGAGGACTCAATACCAAAATTAGAGAGGTGAGGCAGAATGTCACGTCCTTTAATTTTTTTCCGGCTTTCACCTCGTGGCCATTTTAATCACTACGTCATGACCCCTTAAGCTGTTTATGTTGTAGTGTGGGATGTCATCACGATTCTCGAAAGAGAAGGCTCTGCATGTCATGTCAGGGTTCGGTGGGAGTCACTACGCTCAATCGGAGCAGAGAACTTCACGTGTATCAGTGTGCATTCGATCGAGAGCCGTTCTTATACGGAAACCTGTCAGGCGGAGCCTCTGCTGAGTCTGATTGGTCGGTCACCAACAGATTTTTCCTTTCACCGCAGAAGTTAGCTGAACAGCCTGAACTTTGATACATTTGGTATCATCTTATGATTTCATTGAAAATTTGCAGCGATATCGTAATGCAAATTGGCTGCTTGCGTCTCGTGCGTACTCACAGTCACGGTGTGTGAGTTTTATCTAGGGTTGTCTTCGTACTGGTATTTCCTCCCGGTCACGCCAGGCAGAGGTCGAGACTCCCCGTCATGATGATGAAGATATGAGCGCATGGGGCGCGTGCCACTGATGATGACGCGAAGGGACTGGTCCTAGGTTGGAATTACGGAGGCGTAAATGGTCGATCGTTTGACCAATTAGACTTGTCTAAAAGGTATCAAATTCAACTGGATTGTTTTAGCTCTTCGATTAGTTCCCGATCTTCTTCAGAGCCCGGCATCGCCCCAGGCCAAAAACGATTCTTGTCGGAAGTGGGCGCAATGAAGCGAAATCCTTTTTTTGTGATTTTGATCCAAGCCAGAAGGGGAGAGGTGGGCTGGCAAGGCACAAGGGTGACTTCGAGATTAGATGAAGTCACTTCCTCATAACTATATACTTCTCACCGATTTCGATTGAATTACTCGATTGAAAATGTTGCCACTGGCCTGTAATAATCTCGTCTTGGTCCCCAAATCGATTTTTGTTAGTGCTCAACATATTTGAGAAGATCTATGTTTGCTTATGGCGCCTTGTAAAGGTCGCACACCCAGTAGTAATGAACAGGCGGTAAACCATGCATCCCAGTCCTCAACGGGAACGAAACTGCAAACTCCCGATGAGCGGACAAGGACACAAAGTTTAACACGTTCTATAGGCACGGCGGAATTGATCGGAATGATCCCTGGTCCGGATACCAACGAGGATGTGTTGACAGCCAAGCCCCCGTCTGCATCTCGAGGTACACACTGCAGGACCAGGTACCTTGGTGAGGCACATACTGGAGCAATGCGGCTGGATGTTACTTACAGGCAATACTGGAACTCTCGAAACAACTGTCCTGGAGCCCAGGTGCCGGGCATGCAGCAGTGTTCACTCTAATATTGGCCGCCCGTGTGGTAGTTGAAACTTGGCCGCGGCGGCGGCGCCCGCCCGCCCGAGGGGAATGATAGGGTGTCTACCTGTCAGAGAGACGAAAACATAATATCATGAAATGGATGGGGTTCGTGATGATTGAATGCCTGTGTGTCCCTAGGCTACTAGTTACTCAGTAACTCACCAGCACAAACATAAAGTAGCCCGACTTAATGTGGATACGGTCACCCCCGAGAGTCGAGATCAACTCAGCAATTGAGGTACCTCGGCACTCCGGCGTTCGGTTGGATAAGTGTCAATTCTCTAGTTGACAAGCGCATCGTATTCCGGCGTGGTGCTATATAGCTAGTCTCCCCTAGACAAGTCATGACGAATGAAGATAAACGCGAGCTGCAGTGACCTGAGGACAGCCGAATTACATAAGTGCTATTCAGTCGTGCTTACTGCTCACTGTTTGAGTGGTCGCACAACATTCTACGTCTGAACAGCTCACCTTGATCGAGATCGTCGTTGCCGCCAGGTCCTGGTTCGACCGCTACCTTGAAGGACAATTTTCGTGATTCGAAGTTCCTTAATTGTTCAAGGATGGACACCGTACAACATCCTTCGGCAACATGGGAAGCAGTCTCAAATGGTATTGTGTTTTACAGACGCCAGCAGTTGTACACGCTACCTGGAAAGCTCCCAAACATTGCTGACTACTTGATCGCTGGGTGCAAGAATGGTGGACCGATAGGTATGTGGCCCACTCAATTATCCGGAATTTGCAGGATGAGAGGTGCCCTAGCACTTATGAGAGACACTTCAAAGCTGGTTGCGCTGGGTCGTGGAGGACCTGCATTTTCGAAATCTCAAATCCAGGTGTACTCACCGGCCGGAGAGGGCTTGCTACTCTTCAGTGTGGATATTCTGCATCAAGTGAAGAGTTCAACGGGTGGCTGACTCGCGTTTGACAGTGGGATCAAGGCCGAATAGTGCGGTTTGGATGGACCTTCGATGAACGACTTGTGGTTTTGAATGAGGAGGGCGTGTATCGTCTGTACGATCTGCAAGGCGACTACCAGCAGTTTTCGTTGGGAAACGAGGCGGCGGAATTGGGTATAATCGACGCTAGAATACACGAGAATGGACTAGTCGCCTTAACAGGCTCTTTGACTCTCTTAGAAGTGAAAGATTGGGAAGGCGGGAGGCCATTGGCACTTGCAAACCCTGGTATGTCATTATTATCCATATTGTCTGTCTAGCATGTATCAATTTTCGGTAGGGATATCTGAACCACCTCATTCGTGGGCTGTCATACCCCGGATCAATCAATATCGAGACATGTTGAGGTGCTGCTCTCAGTAGATGCCACTATCCTTACTGTGGACAACCTGGAAAGTGCGGACCAACGCGTAGCCCGTGGACCATTTTTGCATGTCTCCCCTTCGCCTAATGGCAAATTCCTTGCGTTGTTAACTTTCTCTGGGCTCCTTTGGGTCGTTTCATCGGACTTCCAACGTGAACTGGTCGTTCTCGACACAGCAACTGTGGGTGCTGAAGGGCCGGTCAACCAAGTGGAATGGTGCGGCAACGACGCAGTTTTGGTTACTTGGAATGATCTCGCATCTCTCATTCTGCCATCACGAGATAACCTAGCGGGAGAAACGCTGCGGTCTGGGCTTTCTCTATCTTCCACATCAATGGCTGACATAATATTAATAGTTATCTATATTTTGGTGCTACGTTTGTCGTCACGGAAGCCGACGGTGCCCGTGTTATAGGGCAGGATGTATGCGACTTCATCCAGAAAGTACCTGGTAAGTTTGTTCGGTGGTATTTTTGGTAAGTGAACCTTAACATGTTTCGTACAGCGTCTTCGGTATCCATATTCCGTCCAGGCTCAACGTCATCATCTGCCATCCTATTTGCAGCTTGGGAAAGTTTCGTACAACGATCGCCAAAAGCAGACGAGAACATACGGAGCATTCGATCAGACCTTGCTGCGGCTGTGAATGAATGCATTGATGCTGCTGGCCATGAATGGGATCCTCATTGGCAAAGAAAGCTACTTAGTGTATGTATAGTGCTTCAAACTGGCCTTTTATTACTTATCGACAAACTTATGATAGGCCGCGAAATTTGGATGGGGATTCCTAGACCTTTACAATCCCACCGATTTTATAGCCATGGGCCAAGCATTGAAAGTTCTGAATGCTGTCCGCTTCTATGAGATTGGAATCCCTTTGACGTATTCGGAGTAAGTTCAATATCTGTAAGGTTCGATGTGGTCGAGATCTGATTCACGCAGGTATCAATATGTATCTCCGGCGCATCTCATAAACCGTTTAACATCCCGAAACCTGCACCTTCTCGCTATCCGTGTTTCTTCCTTCCTGTCTCTTAAACCCGACGTTGTTCTCAAACATTGGGCGAGTGTAAAGATCGCACGGTCCAAGTCTTCAGCTGTTGACGGCGAAGATGATGAAGTGTGCAGACTCATAGTAGACAAGTTTGAGAAGCTCGGGGGCGGGGAGGTGAGCTATGCAGATATTGCCCGGCGAGCATGGGAGGTTGGGAGGACGGGATTGGCCACAAAGGTGAAGGTGCTCATCGTTATCACTCCCTTATACTGAGAAATTCTTCCTTCAGCTACTAGATCACGAAACCAGGGCTTCTGATCAGGTTCCATTACTATTAACCATGAAAGAAGACAAACTAGCTCTGGTAAAAGCGGTCGACAGCGGTGACACCGATCTCGGTGAGTAGTGCCCTGTATCTAGAACTTTGAAATCTGAGACAACTATCAAGTGTACCATGTATTACTACATCTTCACAAGCGCCTTCCTTTAGGTTCTTTTTTCAAGTTGATCGAGGATGGCGGAGATCAGCTTGCGCCTGCAAGCAAGCTCCTTCAGGTTTACGCTCGAGAGCAGAATCGAGAAATGCTAAGAGATTTTTACTACAGTGATGATAGGAGAGTGGAGAGTGCAACTCTGGCGCTGGACGAGGCAGCCCAAATGACCGTACGCGCGAAATTTCCTTCAGTTATCTGTGATTTACAAGTTACTCAGGATCCTCATGCGGTGATGACAGCTGTGAATGCAGCAGAGAAATTCTTTTCAGAGGACAAAGACCGCCCATTTGAAGCCAAGGTAAGCCTGATTCTTTGCTCTGCGTTTCTGCTCAATCTCGACCTTTGTTCTGTAGATGATGAATGAAAGTGTTCGCCTGCTTGCGCTTCAGCAGCAATATGAGAAGGACTCAGATGGCAAAGTCAAGTTTTTCGGACAAAGCGTCTCTGAGACGATACGCACGTGTATCTCGAACGACATGAGCAAGAAA